GGTGGCGTCGGTGTAGGCATGAGTGGGCCGTCAATTAGGTCGGAACGGCCAATCGAGGCAAGAATAATTCGCCCGTGAGGAGTGCGAGATAGCCGCTGAGCTTGGCTTATCCGCATCTCCTCGGCAATCTCACGGATGGTGTTCATTTGAGCGGTCCTTTCTAGCTGTTCAACCGGTGTGAAGCGGGGGAGCCCTGTAACGACCCGCATGGCCGCTCTCAGCATGGTTACTAGTGTGGTTTCTTGAGTATTTGTAAGGCGGAGGTAGTTCAGTCCGTACACTACCTTCGAGATTAGGAGGGTACGGACGAGTCGCCGGAGGAGATCATCCTGTGCACCCCAGGCCTTGCTCGAGATAGCCTTGAGCAAGTCTAGGCCCTCCTTCCACTGCGATTTTACTCTCCGAAGCCAAGTGACTGCACCGCCTTTGTGGTCAAATGGGACCCCGAGGATTTTGACGGAGTTGTTCTGGGCGATGGGGATTCCATCCACCCTCAGTTGGATGTCGGTACGGGCGCTCCTGCGTCGGCTGGGTATAACCATGTACGTGGTCTTCTCCTTTGATAACTCCAACCCTGATCGGATGGCGAAGGTCATGACAACGTCAAGCGCGCTCTGCATGTAGCGTTGTTGGCTATCCGCCCCACCTGCCGTCGTCCACAGGGTGACGTCATCCGCATAAATGGTGAAGCGAATTTGTGGGATGGCTTCAAGGGCGAGAGCCAGGTCAACGATGGCGATGTTGAATAGTAGCGGCGACAAAACCGCCCCCTGTGGAACACCGATATTGTTTGTTCTCCATTGACCTTTAGTTTGTCCGATAGAAACCTGGAACGTGCGATCCTGTAGGAATGTTTTGATGAAATTCAGGAATCGGCCCTGTATACCTCTTTTCTTTGCGGCGGCCACGACTGTGCTGTGTGGTATCGAATCGAATGCCTTCCGTAGGTCAATGGCCACGAGTGTACGCGGTTGGCTTTTAAAAAGCCGGCGCTGGTAGAGATCATGATGTATCATGAGCAGGCTGTCTTGTGCCGAAAGGTGAGGTCTGAAGCCCGTTTGCATGGGATGGAAAGCACCCGTCGATTCAAGAATCCATGTCAGGCGTGTTGTGACCATGCGTTCTAAAACTTTACAAAGGTTGGACGTCAAGGAGATCGGGCGGAGGTTAGCCACCGCGTGTGGTGTCTTGCCGGGCTTTGGGATAGGGATCACCGTAGACCTCTTCCAGTCGGACGGGAGTTCACCGTTCACCCAAATGGTGTTGAATGTGTCAAGGAGCTCTTTCATGGCATCTTGTGGAAGGTTCCGGAGCGCGGTGATGGTTACACGGTCTGGTCCAGGTGCCGACTTTGCTCGTGCCGCGCCAAGAGCGTCCAGGAGTTCTGCGAGCGTGAAAAGGGCGTCCGCCGGCTGTTCGTGCACGATGGTTTCCCGGGCGTAGACTTCGGCGGCGGGTGGCTCGGGCTGTTGGGGGAAGAAACAATCTCCTGCCTCTTCCGCAAGCTGCTCTTCCGTGATGTCAAGGCGGAGCGCTAGATTGCTTCCGGTGTTGCACATTTTTGTTTTCCCGGCAAGCCCTTTGTAGGCTTGCCACAGCTTGCGGTAGCCTGTCCGTTCGTTAAAGGAGTCGCACAGGCTACGCCAGATAGTGCGGCGGAGCTCGATTGTGTATTTTTTGGCCTTTGCTGTCGTGCGATTTAGGCAGATCTTATTCCGGAGGGATCTCCTGGCTCTGTAGCGCTGGAGAGCCTCCAGTCTCCTGTCCCACAGCTTGATCAGGTGCAAATCGGGAGGTGGTGTGTCTTCCTTGACGTTGTATTCCGTACGGGACTCCCGAAGGGCTCGCTGAATCCGGTCTGCGAATGGGACGTTGGCAAGACGGCTCATTGCGGTGCGGAAGTTGTCCCACTTTGTGAAAGTGACTCGACGCCTGGGCGAGGAGCTGATGGGGAGCTTTATGCGTATGGGGAGGTGGTCACTGCCCCATGGATCAGTCTGGACTTGCCATTGCACCTGTAGACGTGGAGAGGCCCAAGTGAGGTCGGGAGACGTGTCTTTTTGGCTGGCGACTTGGGCCAGCCGTGTTGGAGTGTCAGGGTCGTTGCATAGATGAAGCCCAGCTGCGAGGCATGCTCTCTTGATGTGCTTTCCCCTGGCGTTTTTGTTCGGGTATCCCCACGCGGTATGTCGGGCGTTGAAGTCTCCAGCTAGGATGGTATGCTTGTTCTGTTCTACCAAGCCCTTTATCCAATTGACCTCGTTCGAGTCCCCGCACGGTCTTATGTATGTGTTATGTATGTTGATGGGTGTGTCTCCAAACTTGACCCGCGTGGAGACGACTTCGCGGTCATCAGAACATGACGCCTCGGAATTCAATTTTGCCTGCTTGTGCTTTTTCTTTATAAGTGTAACTACAATACCGAAATTTGATGTCTGTCTTTGTATACTGGGGTTAATGTAAGTGTTGTATCCCCTAATTTTAAGATTCCTGACGTTAGCCTCCTGAAGAAGAATAACGTCAGGTGCCTTGTTGTTAAGTATTGACAGACGCGTTTTGAATTCATGAATTTTCTGTTGTAAGCCACCGCAGTTCCATTGCAGGATCCATGGTTGCGGGTTCACTCGAAGCTTGTTGCGCTTGTGGATGTGTTTTGCCCCTCGGGTGTTTGTATGTGTATGAGAATTACTATCCGTCACTGCGAGTGCCTATGAGTTTGTGGATAGCCGCCGTGAGCTCGGACAGCTGTTTTTCAACTCGCGCAAATCCCGCGTATTGAAGCTGTAGGATCTGCGTCGGCATGTCCATCTGTTGGGGTGGATGCGTCAATAATGAAGTGGGTTGGAATGCTCCCATTGTCACTGCTGCATACGACACGCCGGCATCTTGGCTCACCGGTACAGCTGCAGGTGGTAGAGGCTTGGGCTTTTTGCTTCTTTCCTCCGTTCTCGTAGTTTTCTTCGGGGTGCGCCGCGGTGGGATTGCGCGCTTTGGACATTCATTGCTCGTGGCCACGTGGGCCCCATCACAGTTTGCGCACTTTGGATCTTTCGTGCACTCCTCCATACCATCGTGCTGGGAGCCGCACGTTCCACAGCGCTGACCTTTCCGTGGGCACACGTCCATTTTGTGGCCAATTGCATGGCATTGAAAGCAGACTAGCGGTCTCGGGCGGTACTCACGAACGGCGAGAACCTCGTGCATGTACGCCACCCGTTTAGGACAAGTTTTGCCCTGAAATGTCACGAGTATCACGTTGCCCTTCTTCCCCAAGGGGCGCGCTGCTACCACCTTCTGGGTTCTGCACACGATATCCTCCAGAAGTTGTGCAGGAGACACCTCATTACCCTGACCACGTAGGTACACAACACCGCGGCACTCGTTTCCGGCGAGGGCCTTGTATGGTTGGAATGTGCTGTCTTCGTCCCCCTTGCGGATTTCCTTTATTGTCATGAGCTTTGCGGTGATGTTAGGGTCCCTGGTGGTGATGGACAAGGCATTCGCTTTCTCATTCCGGTGGACGCTGTAGTCCGCTTGAGCGTGGATGCCGGCATGCTGGATTGCATCGCGGATTTCTTTTCCAGTGAATGCACCAACTTCTTTCTTTCCCACGGAGCGAAGCACCACAGTTTGTACCGGAAGCGGCCCCGGTGTAGATTTGTCGTCTTTTTCCGTTGCTTGTGGGCTTCGTTTTCTTCTCTGCGAGGAAGCGCCTGGGAGCGGCCATTCTTGGTCGTCGTCTGTCTGGGAGACCGACGTCGCAGTTAGCGGTACCGATGGTACGGATTGACCCGGCGTGGGTCCTTGGGACGTGCTGTACGTCGACGCGCCAGCTTGAGAAGCCCAGCCGTCTTCTTGTGGCTTCGGGTTTGCCGATGGGAAGCGGCAATCATCTTCCATTTGTTGTACTCCTTGATAGGACTCTGCCTCGCGGTCCCCAGTAGTTGGTCTCATGGGCGACCGTGACCTATCGTTATTTCGTTTAGACCGTGGGTACTGCCTTGGGTCTCTCTGTTTATGCTGGGGCGGGTCATTCAGGACTTCTTGTGGTAGCGGCACAAATCGAGCAACAAATTGTTGCAGAGCTTCCAGGATTGCCGGTTGGCGTTCAATCACTCCTGCCAGAACTTGAAAAAGTTGGCTCACCTCCGGCGGTGGTAATCTTTGGTGGGTCTGAAGGCCGGCGGACTGGGTCCCCTGCAGCTGACCTGTGCCATCTTCCCTGTCAACTTCTATTTGGCCCAATTTGCAAACGGTTTCTTGGGTCGGCATGTTCTGGATGCCTTCCGTTATTGGGCCCGATGTGGCCGTGGTTGTCTCTGTATTGGCAGCTCGAGTGTTTGTGTCTCCCATTTCAGGTGATAGGCTTAGCGCGCTGTTCATGACACCATGTTCGAACATCACTGAAGTCGTCCCTCCCGGGTCAAACATTGGCGGTCGGAGGGTGACGGGAGGCCCTCGTTGGTCCATGATGCCCTTTCGGGCGCGAAGGTCCTTTAATTTGGGCGCTGCGAATAGCTCTCGGCGGAGGTAAGAAAAGCAAGTCTTACAGATCAAGCGCTTCGTCGTCCTTCCCTCGAGCCTGGGCTCAGAACGAGCTCACATTAATAGGCTGTTAAGACCGGCAATCTCGATGGTGTCGCACGAGCTCACATTAATAGACTGCTAAGACGGGCAATCTTGATGGTGTCGCATGGCTCGCTATCAGCTCGCGCTCAGCTGTCGCGCACGCAGCTGTTGCCGCTAGTGAATGCAGCGTAGTTGTGACGTGTTCCCTTCTCTCGTCAAGCTTCGAGGTGTTTGCCGCTTGGGGCGGGTCGAGGATCTACTAAGAAAATGTCATGCGCAGGCCTTGTCTTCTGTGTGGTATTGGTTCGGTACGCGTTCCAGAGCAAGAGATAACCGCTCGAACGCTCGCGCACAGCTCAGTGACACTCGTCGAAGCCAGACCGAACCATAGAAAAGAAGAAAACCACCGCAGCACAGCTACAGAAAGAACCATGACTGTGACTGCCGAAACCGCCGCAAGCGGCAGCGACGTCGAGGACCGCCGCGCAGCGGACGTCCTCCCGGAGGTCTTGGACGGTCCCCCGGGAGAGAGGGACTCCGAGGTCCGAGACTGCGCGACGCTAGACAGCGCGGTGGTACAAGTGTCTTCGCCGGAGGAGGAGTCGGTCAGCCTGAGCAGTGACGGGGCGCCCCTCTGCAGGATCTGTCTGCTGGGCGACGACAAGGAGCCCCTACTCGAGCCGTGTGACTGTAAAGGTAAGACAGAAGTGAGGACAGGCGCAGGCCTTTCCTCCCTTGGTGTGTATTCACTGGACACCATATTTGAGTGCGCTGTTCACTGGGCATGCTCAGAGCACAGGTCAAATGTACGCACTACTTAAAATCGCCAAGTTTCCGTGCAAGGCCAATCAAAACACGGCGTCAAATGAACGTTTACCTGGTTTATTTGCATATCCAAAACATACGAAAGATGCTCCAAGATATTTTACGAAAAAAACCTGAGCTGAAACGAAGTTTGAACGTGTTATTCGTCTTGTCTTGAACACTTTTCATAAACAAAAGTGAGCCAACCGCAGGCCCATGCCGCAGCCGACGCAGCTTCTAACGCCATTGTTTTTTCTTTCAGCACCAGAACTTTTACACTTACACGGAATACACCATACCGCGCCCTTTTCACTCCTACCGCACCGTCTCGGGACTCGTTGTACGAGAGCGCGACTCCTTTATTGCGGGGTAAAGGGCTAGGGTGCCTTCATGTGCACTTTGCTTAGGGTGGAGACATCTGGCCATTTTGTCCCACGCTTTTTCTTTTTTGTTCAGAAGCGCGTGAAAGAGCGTGTCTGTGCGCGCATTTTTGGCGCTGACTGTGATATATGGCGACAATCTCTTTTTCGAAATTCCTTTGTATTTTCCCCGTGAGCGCCTGCTGTCGGCATCGGGTACTACAAGGGGTGGCATCACCCTAAACCACTGTGTAAGAAAGTATTTCGTGTAAGATACACTCTTTAGGTGAGGACACGGCGGGGCTGAACGCGCGGCGCGAGGAATCAGAGAGTGTTCGTTCGACGGGCATTCGATAGGCTGTGTTATTCCGCGGCCACCGTTAGGGTGCCTAAATGCGCGTGTGTATGAAGGCACTCTAGCCACCGTGCCCGCGGCTGACAGTATCGCCGGGGGCCAAACGGCGAAACTGTGTGAGAGCGAAACAAATTACCTCGTTGCCATGACACCCCCGTACACCGTGGTCTTTCTGCACGTGCGACAACCTTGCTGGAGCTCTGCGCGTGTGGAGCATGAGGCGGTACGAGCCGTCTTGTGCACTGCTGCCTGCCTCCTGCGTCTTACACATGTGCCCACGGGTTGACGAGTCTTCTGCCGGCGCCGCTTGAAACCATAGTGAGAGAGAGAAAGAGAGAGAGTGAAAAGCGAACTTTATCGGCACAAATACTTTACTAAGGGGAATACATTCCCCTCCGCTCATTTGCATTAGACAGAACGCCTACAGCGCCGAATCCAGCCCTGACGGAGGGGAGGTCCGCGTCAGTTCTGGCGCATGTGCACCTGGATATTCGCGGCGGTTGCGGCGGTCTCGTCTCCGATTCCACCTAAAGCCCCTTCATATTTCGAAAGTAGCGCAAGGTGCGTCGATGCACGAGGTGCGTGCAACGTGCAACCCTTGGGAGGATCATGGCGGCACAGCGCACCGAAGTGTTAAGCCTGGTTCAGACAGTTGCGTTTGACTGCGTTTGACTGCGTTGCGACTGCGACAAACCAGGACATCCCGGCTGCTTATATCGCGTGCCAAGATGATTCCTTGAATTGCATTCCACGCTTGATGCGAAGCACAGATGTGCCGGCGACTCGCTTTCGGTTCTCGACGCACTCAAACGCCAGTGCTTGAACCGGCCTTTAGGCGCAGCACTGATCTAGATTTGAGACGCCATGTTCTTCCTAGAAGTGGCGCGCGGCACGTGTTTCGAGCATTTCTGCAAAAATGAATTTCGTACGTAGAACAACCACCATCATCACCATCATTTACCGCCCGATAGCCGAGACCTCCCCGACGATAGATGGCTCTCGCCAAGCCCAGAAAACCTGTCCGCGCCGAGGCTATTGTATTTGAGTGGTGTGGAATGTATTACCCCTAGTAAAGTATTTGATCGCCACTTCGCGAGGAGCGCGCTGTCCTCACCTGAAGAAAGTGCCTGAAGAGTATTATCTTACACCGTGCCCTAAACAGAAGGACATGGAGGCACCTTATAAAGGGCGATTCACACACTTGCCTTGAGTCCGACCGAGGGTGAGGGTTGCTATGGCAACAGCTGTATCGAGTCCAACAAAACCGGTTTTTACCCCGTTTTGTCGGAGCCGACGCAGCTGTCGTAGCAACCCTCGCCCTCGGTCGGACTCAACGCAACTGTGTGAATCGCCCTTGACGTGCAAGTCGCTTTTCGCCGTCTACTGAAAGGAGTGTAGAAGGAGCCCGTCTACTGAAAGGAGTGTAGAAGGAGCGCTCGTCCGTCGTTTGTGTTTCTTACTCTGTCCTCGTCTTTTGTGCGCTTTTAAAACCAAGATGAGCGTTATTAGCCCCGAAAAGTTCGCGTGGCGCCCCCTTACGGCGAACTGGGGTGACGTCACGGCGAGGAGAGAATTTTTCCCCGACTCGCCCCGCTCGCCCTGTGGAGGCTGTGACTACGCTAGCTGTCGGCGCGCTCGTTTCTATTTATTTATTTTTTTTGCATGTTTTTCGTAGGAAGTGTAAATTTTTATATGTGCCTTTGTGGAGGTATGGCCTGTAGTTACAGGCGAAACTTCAAGCAACATTTTAAGCATGGTTGACAGGTCAGGCAACGCATGAATCACGCTGGTATATGAAAATAAAGAAGTATGGCCACAATTGCAGGAGCATCACTGTATAGATTTACATTCCGCGCAATAAATGCTGCTGAGTGTTCTCAATGAATTGGCAGGTTATGTATACTATTGTTTTTTGTATTTGTTTTTAAACAAGATCGCCGAAGCAGAAAAGCTGCAAGCTGCTCGAGCAACATGCTAAATACAGTCTGAGCCATGACAAGAGAATCACAAGTAAGACAGCTTAAGTGCAGGGGCAAAGTAAAAAAAAACAAAAACACAAGGAACATTTATTTTATACATTGCTCGCATTTGTCCTTCGCTGGATTCGGATAGTATTTCAAGAGACTACACGGGTGGTATGTTTGGGCTTGTTTATATCAACCATTAACTAATGTATAACAAACGTAAGCGAAGGTGTCTAGCTCGTTATTAGTCCCTTGAGCCCTAAAATTCATATTTTACTTAAATCGAAATGTCCTGAAGCTAAAATACCAGAAGGTTTTCTCACGCAGACTGTCGCCCTTTACAGGTTCCACATTTTCTGCTACTAGTGCTGCATCTACCACTGGACAAACGTTCGAATGCTTGCTTTTACTCCTGTTCTCCTCTGTTGTCAGAGTCCAGCTGTAGGGAGTTTGGAGGCTGAGGAAGCTTTTGGGGACCTGCAGCAGTGTCTCTTTTAATTGGAAATGACAATGGACCTTTTCCGAGCAGCGTTCTGCGCACGCGCGAGCGCCCGATGCCAAGCGGCGGAAGTCAGAACGAAAAATCGAGGAAATTCGGAAGGAGGCGGTATATCAGCGAGTAGAACACGTAACTGCAGCATATATATAATTGTGTTACACAAAAAAAGAACGTCGACGGAAAGGAAAACATGACGTTTGGGTGGACGCCACGGATGCCCCTCTTTAAAGTCGCGTTGGGCAGGCGCCGCTGCTCAGAGAGCGAAGCAACTGGTAGCGTAGCTCTCATTATCGATTGGTAGCGCAGGTAGGTCACTTCCTCGATTTTTAGTTCGTGCAGCCACCGCCTGGTGCCGTCGGTATGTGGAAAAGGTTCATTCCGACTAAACGGTGTATTTTCCGAATACCCAAGACTGGAATAAAGAATGTCAGGAAAAAAGTATAAACATTCCAAACTACAGCACTATTGTTGTGCATATTTTGGGCAGTTCAATACAGTACAGGCAACTGAGGGCAATTCGTCCGTTTTTGGTGCTACCGTACAAACTGATTTCCAGTAATTGTGCATCTTCTAGGAAATATGCCTGCATACGTGTATAAACAATATATTTAATACACGAAGAAACTACATTTATGTAAACAACCTTGTTCCACGAGCACTTCAAAGGTAACCAGATACAGGGCCTTTAAAACATCTGCGAACCAGCGCATGCAGAGTGGCAGCGCAGAGCTGGGGTCGCGAGCTAATTTGCCGACCACCCAATGGCCCATGGTATAAATGACTCTTCAAATGCCTTGAAAGCGGGATGTAATATCGTCCTAAATCATGAACATGCAAGGAACCGGATTCCAGCGTCTGAAACACTTGCGCCACCGCTTCACGGACCCCTCGCAAGATTGCCTTGTGTCGTTCGGACGGACCGGGAGGTTCATCGTCGGAATTGCCTCCGCCGATTGCTTTCGGGATTCTTAACCCAATTTTAAAACTAAAAGGGACAAGCAAACTTATAAAATGTACGGAAGCACGTCAATGTCGGCCTAACTCAACGTCTTGTACACCGGGTAAACGAAATCCAGCTCCTCGAAGGGCTTGCGGCACACAACGCCAAACCAGGAAACCGGTGCTGGGAAGCGAGCCGATGCGAGATCGCGGAGCGGAGTCCTCCCCCCGACGTCACGGTACACCTCACCCAATCAGGACGCGGCCACCGCAGCGACGCTTGTGTTCGCTCTCGGGGCTAATAGCTCCTTGACTTCCGGAGAAGCTACTGAACGCACCCGTTGGAGGCGTGCGAGGAGACTCTTTTCCTCCTTTGTAGGAGGGAAAGTGGACGTAACAAGCGACCGAACAGAGCGAATGATCACTGCACGAACTGCGCCGCAGCCTCACGAAACAAGTCCAGTCCAAACCAAAGAAGGCTGGCTGCATGCACCAGGGCAATATATACTAACGCATTAATCATTGGTAGTCTTGGAAGGCCCGACTGCTGACGAGTCAAGTTAACTCAAAGAAACAAAACAAATATAATTTTCAAGGTCGGTACCTAAATATTCTCTTTTTTTTTTGCGAGAAAACACACGCGTTATGCATGTTATAAAATGCTGTTAGCAAGCAAGTCCGACTTGAACGCGTCTTGGCAGAACGAACGTGCCTCGTCTGCTTTCTTTTGTCTTATTTCACTCACTGACTCGTTCGATCTCTCAGGCCACCGATGTCGGCGTTTACGATTTGCAGCGCTCCGTTCCCGTCTTTACCCCCCGGCTAGAATTAGTTCCTTTGCCCATTCAAAGTTATCCAGTCGTTTTGCATCCATGCATCCATAGATCCAGATAGGACATGGAAACAACCTGCAATTGTCATTTTGCTTGCTTGCAGGAACCATCGGCAGTGTTCACCGAGACTGCTTGGAGCGCTGGATCCCGCGCACTGCCGACGGCAAGTGCCAGATCTGTCAGTTCCAGTTCACCGTGCGCCGACAGTCGAAGGTGAGGCAGCTTCGCTTGCACCTTTGGATTTAATTGCATCATAATTAAAACCTTAAACTGCAAGCTTCACCCTTGTTGGTGTTAGACTGGTGGCAGCTGATAAAACCCGTTTGCTCTACTGACGTCTAATCCCTGGTTAGCTTAGTTGGTAGACCGCTCCACCGGTAATGGAGAGGTCCCGGGTTCGATACCCGGTCCAGGCTCACCAGTTCCCTGGCTGTGTTTGGAGATTTGTGTTTGTCCCTCTTGTTCGTCTTCTCCAGGGTTTATTTTCGTCATTCCAGTACGGAGTTTCGCTGCACCCGCGATCAGTCCCTCTCCCCACCGCGCCTCTTCTCCTCCTCTCCCGCACTTGCGCTCCGCATATGATGCAAACAGGCTACAAATGTCTAGCACGCTTTACCGATGGTGTAGTGAAGAGGTCTCAAACACACGGCCCCTGGCCCGAACAGGGCCCCAAGGTCTCCTGCGGCTGCGAGCCCCCGCTCATGCATGCCCGCGGCGTTACATCGGCCATAAAAAAATAGTTGCATGACCGTGGATTCATGATCGTCGATTCATTTCAACTAAAAAAGAAGCTCTGCTCATAAAAGGTGTTTACACATTTTGCAATATTCTATTTTTTTTACTGAGTATTTCTTTGTCTAAATATTTACTTTTCTCCTTTTCTCATGTAGATGGCCGAAACAACAATTTCGCTGCGAGGCTTATCGCGCTAAATTTTTTAATGGACCGCAAGTTCTTTCCCTAATGACACATCTCAGCTGGACGAACCCACGCTCAACACAAGCAACTGCGAAATATAAAGCTATGAGCTCGGACTTGCAGCCGTCAAAATATAGCTTTAAAACAGAAGCCTTATAATGCTGCTATAAAAATTGCCAGAAAACACTGTCGTGTGAAGAAATATATATATATTTTTTTTTTTTTTTTTTCAGTCCTGTTGAGACAAGCGAATTGTGCGACGGGGGCAACAATAGTGCATGTGCTTTCTCTGTTCCATTTAAGAATGCCATCACGTTGAGATTTTAAATCTTGTAATAACATCAAGTGCGAACACAAAGCAGTCGTATCTCGCTTTTAAATTTTCTGCTTTTCCACAAACATAGAAGAGTAAAACGGTCTTTTTGAAGTCCATGTTGATTCGTCTTCAGTTGCGTTGTTGTTAAAAACATTACAAGGCTGTCCGTAAGAAGCTGACTATGCGTTTGCATTTTTTTTTATTGTTGCATTTCTATGTTACTGAAGTGTTTGTACTACATTACATTATACTTTTGCGTAACTTCTTGTGCAGTAAACCCTTCTGGCACAACAACCAAAGCTGAGTTAGCAATATTTGTAAATAAATAAATGAATAAATAAATAAAAATAGGCAAATCAAAACTAAAAATAACACTTCCAAAAAAAAGGCGAGTTTACAAAAAGCAGACAGCACAAGGTACTTTTTCTAAGATATTTTGGTGCGTCGCTGGGAGAGTCTGATACTTTGCTAAGTAAAACACCATGGTTGTTTTTGATTCTGGCCCAAAATAAAATATTGTTTCGTCCCGCACCCACCCCACGTCGGCCCTCGACCTTTCGGGGGTGGGCTATCTGGCCCTCCCACTCTGAGCTTTCTTCTTTTTTTTATTATTCGTGTCGTTTACAGCCGATCTGGTGGCTGCTGGGCGACCCGAAGGCGCGCCGCAAGGTGCTCGGCTACCTGGCCCTGGGCGCCACCTTCTCGGCTAGCATCGCATTAATCTTCTCGCTGGCCTGGCTCTACGCGCTACGCCTGTCCTCGCGGCTGGGAGACAGGTCGGCCGTCCTGCTCGTCGTGCTGCTCGCCGTCCAGAACGTGCTCTGGCACTACTTCCCCTTCCTCAGCTTCATGTGAGCGGCCGGAGAAGGGTGGACACTCCGACGTAGTTTCAGACAACGTCGGCGATTTAACTGATCCTTCGGGGTGGTTTCAGTTTCAGCGTCAAAGGAATGCACCAAAAGGGCATCCAATTTTTTTTGCCCCTGAACCCAAATCACCATGATATTTCGAAATATGTGCACATTGGCTATTTCAACTGGTTAATTAAATATAGGGAAGCCAGTATTGTTAGAAATCGGAATGCATTCGGTTCAGTAATCGTCGCAAAGCGGAGACTGAGCGGGCGGGACGGAAAGGAAAAACGGAGCAGTGGGGGAGGAAAACGAAAAAGGGGGGGGGGGGGGGGGGGGGGGGGGTAAACCTTTAAAAAAAACAAAAAAATCTAGCACCTACTGAATATGCCATGCAAAGATGTTTTCTTCATTCAGGCACACTTAACATAAAATTGCTCGATTCTCCTATAAGTAAAAGGTTGGGTGTTCTGTATTGCTTGACAAGATGCAAACATTCACATTTAAACTCTTAACCGAGGGTAATGAAAGATTTTGGACGTGCTCATCTCTCATTCGCAAAAACCACGTTTGACTTCACGGTCTTCATCTTGCAAATGTCCGCAGACATATACGTGCTGTAGGGGACACTTCGATCAAGGCCACTGTAAGATTTCGCAGATTTGAAAGCTTTAATTGAGATGGTCAGAGGAATACTTAATGAAGTCGTGCGCTAAAAATGCATTCTTCAGCTTATTGCTTGTTTGGAGATCGGCTGATCAGCAAATTCTATCTGTGACAAATCTCATGTACTTGTTCAGGGGTAATCCGGCCGGTAATACCGTGTTAGCAACCAAACATATATCTTTTTCTTGTAGTGCTTTTCTTTTTTTTTTTTTCTTACAAAAAGGGGGGGGGGGGGAGGTAAAATTCTTGTGTTGTTGTTGTTGTTTTTTTTGTTTTTTTTTTTTTTTGGGGGGGGGGCGATTTCTGTTGATGTTCTCGACATTTCTAATATTCCGCTTCGTCTTACGATGTACCACAGAGGGCGATACAAGCTCTCGAAGCCAATCTCATGCCGTGTGAGTATCACGTGACCATCGGGACAGGCGCGTAGTCACGTGATACATTCAAGGCGGTGGATTTGCTGGGATGGCCCGTAGCGTCCGCTGATGTCTGGGGAAGGAGAAAAATCGACCCCCCCCCCCCCCCCCTCCTTTTCCTCGAACGCTTCCGACGCCACCGCCGTAGCGTACTTGATTTTACCGTACAAGCGGGTATAATGGGGATATATGTTTTCCTATTGTGTAACGCGTATACCTGCCCGGCACTTCACAGGTACTCGTTTGACGCCATCAAAGAGTGGCGCCGAAAGAACTTCTCAACCAAGCTCGTCTTGGGCCATGTCTCCGCAACGCCACGCTGGTTGAGTGTCTGCTCCACCTAGGCACATCCTTCCCCTGTTTGTATTGCAGTAAAGACCGTTTCTGTTTATCGCTGCGTTCTTCCCTGCTTGTGTTCAGAAATGCCACGGGGTGCAATAAATACACCAACAACTGAGAATCATGAAAAAACAATGCTCGAAATAGGGACATAATTTCTTCGAGGTAATATTGTCTGCCACGGCGGACATCGGAGTATGCATAAAAAATATATTGTCTATCTCACTACCTGAAATAATTAACTCTCTAGACAGGTTTGCCTTACGCGACATATTCTAATGAGATTTCTTGCCCCCGACGTTCGCATAAAACTAAATTATTCTCCCGGCCTAAACAAAAATTGCCAAATGCCACGCGCCTGAGCAGCAGAGTGCAGCGCGTCTTATCCATGACCACGTGACTCCAGAATAGCGCGACGCTGCCAGATCAGCTCTCGACGACACGCTACACGCCCCCGCTGCGGAGACTGACGTCACTTCCGGGTTTAGACTTCTATGCTTTTTTGTGTCTATCTTCTGTATCTCAAATCCCTCACGGCATAAATTTGTCATTTGCCTGAATTCTAACAGCATTAACAAATTTTGACGACGTACATCTTTAATTCTAATGTACCAGCTAAAGTAAGTATTCAAAATAAGTTAATTAGGGAGTTTTAGGTAAATAACCGGCTGTGATCACCTTGCGCTCGAAAATGAAAGTGTCATTGTATTGTATCTTGCGCGCGCCGCACAAAACAGACCGATAAGCGCGTGCCAAATAAAGAAGACGTTTCGTTCGTTGCTTTCCCACACCCGGCCCGTTTTGCCTTATCGGCAACACTAGCCGATACATCATTAGTGACATTAAACTTAAACCGTGCTGTGGCCGAACATTATCCAAGCACTACTTAGAGTTTAATATGAAGCGCCTCATGTATTAAATGTATCTCGAAGCGTAAAAAAACGCTGTGTTTAATGCTAAGGTAGAACTTTTAAATAACACGTTTGGGATAAAAGAGAACCATGATCATCTCACCGCAGAAATAAACTGCACCCCAGAACGCTCAGTCTCTGCCCAGAAGTAGCTGATGGGACCAGACGCCAAAGTGTCAGAACTTTCCGTTATCTGATTCAGAAATTATACGCGATTTTAGAAAACTTTTCATGAGAAATTTGGCCCTTTCCAGATTGCAGACACTATTCATCTCCATCATTTGCGGGCTCCGTTGACCGCCATTTCCTTATGCGGAGGGCAAGTTCGTCTGCATCTTGCGCAGGGGTCGCGGTGACGTCAGAACGCCGAGCTCTGATTGGCTCGAGAGGAAAGATGATGGGTCGCCAATACCCACTATCTGAGCGTCGTCTGCTCCTTTGCAACGTCGTCTGCTATTCAACAGCTCTCTTACCTTTACGAGCGAGCTCGACTTCGCCTTTCAGAAAGGACAGACGAAGTAACTCGGGCGGTGCGATGTGTTTTTGTCTAACAACTAGCAGACAGATATCAAGGATCGAAGCCAAAGGACTCACGGGCGAGGTGGCCGACGCGCCGAGATTTGTTTGCTAACAACCGAGAACGAGGGTGGTTAGCACCCGCAAGTTCCCTCCTTTCGTGTGCGGCGTCGAGAGTATCGCGGAAGTTACGTCGTAGCCTCGTTGACGCTAAGAAGTAATTATTGTTTTTATTTTTGGCGAAATTTTATGGAAACTTATTTTTCTATGCCTTGTTATTTAAACAGACGAACACTTTCTCGAGGGTAATCCGATGGACTTCAATTAGCCCTCTGTATTTGCACTTGTCTATGCTTACTGTCTTAGCAGACAAGGATAAAAACACGTTGCTTCCTTCAGTGTAGCGCGCGTGCGGCCCCGAACATCTAAAGGCATCGCAGACCTGTTATTGCTCTGTTTCTTGCGGCTAAAAGCCGGTTGTCCCTCTAAGAAGGGTGCAAGGTGCAGAGAACAGCGCACCTATTTAATAGGCTAGAGTCTCGCTCGTTATCGGAATTAACCAGACAAATCGCTCCACCAACTAAGAATAGACATCCACCCCCATCCAGCGAATCAAGAAAGAGCTCTCAATTTGTCAATCCTCCCAGAAATTGAAAATGCGACATACTGTCGTGATTGGGTCCACCACATCCGAAGACGCAGCACGTTTTCATTTCCCCTGGTAACACTGCCCCTTGGACAGCGCCTGATCAGAGCCGACCTCTAAATTACACAGGACAGAAGCGGAACGGTGTTTTCTCTTTTTTTAACCAGCAACCACGCCAAAGACTTACGGTAACAGCGACAGCTGCTACAGCACGTCCGCCATTGCCCACGCCGAGATGTTTACATCCGCAACCCTCCCCCCCCCCCCCCCCCCCCCCCCCGAGGAGGCGGAACCTAGTATAACCTTTTCTCCCACCTTTACACCTCCTTTCCATGTGCAGAAGACCGAAATCTCCACTAACGTTTGAATCATAAAACGCTAAGTTCTGAAACTTTGGCATCTAGCCCTTACCGCTAGCTCTACATTTAAACGGAGCCTGAACTTTCGAAAATGCGTAACTTGTTTTAGCGGGGATAACTGTTCTTTTAGAGCGCAGCTCTTAGGCGCCCGTTTCCGGCTTGAGCGCCGTCGCCGTCGGCGTAATCGCACGGTGCATTGTGGGTAAATTTCCCCGCTAAATATAGCGGAAAAATTTCCCCGCTAAATCTACCGGAAAATTTTCCCCGCTAAATCTAGCAGAAATATTTCACCGCTAAATCTAGCGGAAAATTTTCCCCGCCAAATTTATCAGAAAAATTTCCCCGCTAAATCTAGTGGGAAAATTTCCCTGCTAAATCTAGCGGAAAATTTTCCCCGCTAAATCTAGCGGGAAAATTTCCCCGTTATATCTAGCGGGACAGTTTCCTCGCTAAATTTAGCGGGAAAATTTTTCCGCTAAATCTAGCGGAAAAATTTCTCCGCTAAGTCTAGCGGAAAATTTCTCCGCTAAGTCTAGCGGAAAATTTCTCCGATAAATATAGCGGAGAAATTTCCCCGCTAAATCTAGCGGGAAAATATTTCCGCTAGATTTAGTGGGGAAATTTTTCCGCTAGATTTAGCTGGGAAATTTTTCCGCTAGATTCAGCGGGGAAATTTTCCGCTAGACTTAGCGGGGAAATTTTCCCGCTAGATTTAGCGGGGAAACTTTTCCGCTCTAGCGAAAAATTTCCCCGCTAAATCTAGCGGAAAAATTTCCCCGGGCCTGTACTTCATCTCACACTTCGTCTTCAGTGCTGGCAAAGACACCAGCGCAAGTGTATATGGCCGTGCAGAAGGCTTTGTTTAATTCAAATTCAAATTCAAATTCGTTTATTTTTGCCACAAACGGTACATTTGTGACAGGGGCGCTGGAAAAAAAGCTGCAGGTCTGCAGCTTGACGAGTCCCAGCGCCCCAGAACAAGGTAAGAGCGGCACCGGCACACACAGACAAAAAAGAACGGATATGCGCACACATACATAGGCATAAACATATATAGAGGATAAACACGAGAAAAACATAAAGAATTCAACTTCGCAATCAACAGTATACAAAAAAGTGGTGGTTACTTTTTATAAAGCTTCTTGAATGGAATAATGGCTAACGGAGTGTATTTCAATATCACGGGAAAAACAGGGTGTTTAATAAAAGTGGTAACTGGTGGCGATATCTTTGTAGACCAAAATTTGTCCTTGAAAAGGGAATACGCCAGGGGGGCCTACGTCGCGATGGATATACAGACTCGTTTGCTTCTAGATTACCAAGATCTAAAGAAATGACATTATTTTCTCTGACGGATCGTTGATAATTAGCTATCAGTCTATGTGCATACAAATTGGTTATATCAATGACTTTATGTTTTTCAAAAAGAGGAAGGGAATGATAGTCACGCGGAACATTTTCGATTATCCTGAGTGCCTTTTTCTGCAATAGGCGTAATTTGTTAATGTTGCCCTTTGCAGTCGAACCCCATACCAGGTGGGAGTAGCAGAGCACAGGGTAAAACAGAGCATTGTAAATTAGTTTTTTAATATTTACCGGAAGTATGTGCCTGAATTTATTCAGTATTCCGACAACTTTGCATAGCTTTTTATGAATATAGGCAACATGATTATTCCAGGACATGTGACAAGAAAATATTACTCCCAACGTCTTTATACCATCGACGCACTCTATCGCACAATCCCCCCAAAACAAATCGCGCGACAACCTAATGCGTGGTCCAGGACACTGAAATAAAACTGCCTTTGTTTTGGATGTGTTAATAACAAGGGAATTCATAACTACCCACGATTTTAATTTATTTAAAAAATAATTCGCTTTGAAAGTGAGCACCCCTTCCCTAAATCAGAAAAAAATATGCTGGTATCATCCGCGTATATAATAAATTTAGCAGACGTTTCAATATTTACAATATCATTAACATAAGTGATAAACAATAATGGGCCTAGAATACTTCCCTGAGGGACCCCGGAACTAATGCGTTGCATAGAAGATCTGTTATTATTAATTTGAACGTATTGGGAACGGTACTGTAAATAGGACGAAATGAGTGCTAATGGAACTCCTCGAATACCATAACATTCTAATTTATCAAGAAGAGTTCTGTGATTTATCCGGTCAAATGCTTTACTGAAGTCTACAAAGATCCCCAACGTTAAAAGTTTACTCTCGAAATTTTCTAATATTGTCTCTTTTTGTACTAATAAGGCAGTTTCTGTAGACCTACACCTTCTGAAACCGAATTGCGAGTCCGTCAACACAGAATATTTTTCAAAAAAGGTTATTAGTCGAGAATATATTATCCCAGACAGCACACGACGTCGGGCCGACATTGGTATTTAATTGGCAAACAATGGTCCAATATTGGGCCAATGTAGCCATCGTAGGACCAATATTGGTGGTACACTGGAATATACTGGCCAACGTTGGCCTGACTTGACCAACGGCTCACCAACGTTTCCAATCGATTGGTTTAGACTGGCCAACATTGGCCAACCTCAGCCAACGGCTTA